TTCTATCCTTCTATGCGTCGATTACGTCGCACACGTCTCTTTCCCACTCACTACCGTAAGTACGTCCCCTAGGGAATACGTCATAGAAGCCCTGTATCCCCTCTACTCGTCTATATGGAAAACCGCAACCGTGTCAACGCACGTGAACAAAAGCTTCTGTTGTTTCATTATTTAATAATAAGTTTTCCGATAATGAAAATAAATCATTCAAAATGAAATTTTCAAACTGTTCCAGCACATCCCAACACTGTTGCTTTCATCAGCCATGGTGGCCTCCTCGGCATGATAGAATCTGTTTTTTTTGGTGTTCCCATTCTGGGAATTCCAACCTATTGGGACCAATACAAGAATATTGAAGATGTTGTGAGAAGAGGCATGGCTGTCAAATTAAACCTACATGATCTTACTGAAGAAACTTTCAGCAATGCTTTGAATGAGATACTCAATGATCCAAAGTAAGTCGCATCATTTCTGTGATAACCGTGATACTAATACATGTGACATACCAGAACATGACTATGGTGTCGAAAGTCATCTTTTGGAAATACTTGTTTCAGATATGGAACTCGTAAATGATGAAAAGACACCTGTGAAGCTCACTGATGTGAACAATTTCAATAAAATTCACAAGTTCTCATTCAGTCATGAAAAATGTTCTGATTGATTCGGCCGTTATACTTGATGAAGATCCATAGTAATTTCATAAACTATAACTCACGATTTGATCCCCACAAATTTCATTTGAAAAATATTTCACGACATGTTTCGCTAACACAGTAGCTTCTTGAACAGTGATTTGAATATTCATCATTGTTTTTTCAAATAATCTGAAGGAACAATTCGTTCAGGCCAATCTCAACCCCCTACACTGTAGGTTAATGGACTTACATCTATCAGAAAACAACTACTCCCCTGGCTAATACCACGAAGAACATTGGATTATATTCGATAGGTTATACCGTGTTCCAATTACAAATTCGGCTATCGTCCACCAGATGGCCTACCATTCATTAACAAGACCCCTTTTGTAGTAGAACTCTGTTGTTTATCATGTTATTTTGTTATAAATTTTATAGTAAGGTGTCGTTATTTTTGGGCAAAATCGTAGTATCCGAGTTAGCCATGTTAGCTTGCCTTTTTCCGTTCGTGTAAGGAACGACGCTAGTTAAGATTGGTGGGATCCGACAGAAAAAGCAAAATTTGGGAGTAAAATCATATCCACAGTGA